ACAACAATTATGCCAAGTTAAGCTTCTTTAGCCACTTACCTCATTAATCACTAATCTCCCTCATTAGGTTAATAAACCAGAATTAAACTTTTTGGATGTTACAAATGGCATTTGGTAGTGTGTTTTGGATACCTTTGAAAGTGTTTTGAGGTGAAAACAAACCATTTTGAGTTTGAGTATCTATCTTCTTAATGAATGATTATATGAGTGTGAGACCAGTGCCATTAGCTAAAGGGCTTGAAGAGCTTCATGCGGACACTTGAACTGCTCAGATCGAACATCAGATAGCGAAATGGCACACTCTAAAAGTTTGAAGTATTGTCATGATAGCAATCTACTGTCATGACAGTAGGTGCATGCTGCAGTACAAGTGGCTTTTGAGGGACTCATACCTTTATGCCATCTGTCATGACAGACAGACTAGAATTTTTAAAAGTGGCTAGCTTCAGCTTGTTTGAAGAGCTATTTGATTTCCACACTTTCATATTTGAATGTATTTGATTTCAATTATGGTTTGAGCTCAAACAATATTTTTTTGAAAAGGGTTTTCTTAGGATTCCATTATTTTAAACTAATTATTTTTAAAACCCTTAGGTTGTGATAACTTTTTCTTAAGATTTTATCTAATCCTGATTATCACAATGACATGTAAGAGTGTTGTCTTGGTAATGTCAATATGGACATTACACTGACCTTCTCTCTGTCATGCATCATGGTGTAGGTACCATACACCTAACATATTACATAGTCACAAACAATATTAGACTATCACTAATCAATCCTGAGGGTAAACTTCTGACACACCTCAATTTTTCATCAAACATCTGATTGGGGTGATTTAGATAGTCATAAAGAGCAGGACTAGTGAATTAATAATTAGCACCAGACTCAAACCCAAAATATAACAATGAAAAGTTGGATGCCTAGACTAAAAATTAACCCTTCTTTCAAATTTAAAAACTCCAAAGTGTTCGAACTCTAACCAGGGTGCCAATAACTAAAACAATGACCTAGGCCAAAAGCCATAGACTTATGACAACCTATATAATGCATCATAATAGACATATCTAGTACACTTTTCATTTTTAATCATCAATCTCATACTCAAAAAAAAAGTAAAGGAGGTAAACTACACAAATTCACAAAAATAAAATCCCAATATAACATAGTAACAATCAATAAAATAATCATTAGCTTACTTGCATAGTATTTAGGCCCTAAACAAGCAATGATAGCTCATAAAATAAATCTTAGGCACTAAATACAACTAACAAACACATATAACATGCAATGGGGCAAGTGATAAAAAGAATGACCTTATTTAGCAATTTCATTATCGAATTACACATATAAATACAAAAATAGGAAAGGTATCTATAGGAATACTAAATTCCTATGCCTTTAATGCCTTTCCCTTAGTCAGCCTAAAGCTAGTGCATGTAAAAATTTAAGATAAGGTGAATACAAGCCATTTAATACCAAGAAAATTCAAAATCATGCACATGTAAGTCAAATCAATTAATGTATCCAAAGTAAGCATTTAAGATAAATAAATGAGTTCTTAATGCAATATCACATCTCATGATATCAGCGAATACATGATCAATACTCCTTATAACCTCCATATTTGCCGACCAAATTGTGGGCTATCAATTCAATAGGGCTAAGTCAATGTAAATAAATTAGCCCAAGCTCACCAATCATAAGAAGCTATTTGGCCAAAGGTACTATGCTCATTTTCGGATCATAAATTCTTCCAATTCTCAAATTCATTATGGTGTCACATTGACATACCCCATACTTAGTCCAAGTGATATTAAGGGAAAAGTGTCTAGGCAACCTATGCTTTATATTTCTAGGTGAGATTCAGGAAGACCTGACTCTAAACTAAACATCAAGGCCACCCATAATGTTAGTTATATCCACGTAGGCAATATAATCCTAACTCTTCTTGGGCGAACTCCTACCTAATATGATTATGACACGTAATCTCTTGCTCATAATATATATATATATATATATATATATAAGCAACTTCATGTTTTTATAAACACAATTCAAAAATTTATACATTCTATAACTTCATTTATAAACATTTACAACCATACTTGCATAATTTTCTAAATGATAGAAAATATCAAATTCAAACTTTAAAAACATAAATTTCTATTTAACAAAATATAAAAAACATAGTGGAAATTCTCAAATATCCATAATCAATCCAACAAACAATAGCATAAAATAGAATTTTCCTGGTTACCTCAAACTTTTGAAAATTTAAAGGTTACCCCTAATACAAAATTGCTTCCCAATCTTAAATTGAGCTCAAAAGGTTTGCCACAAGGTCAATCTACAATATAACCACAGTCATCACAAATAACCAATAAACATAGCACTTCCAACTCTTAACCACCCACTAAAAAGACCAAAGTTTCAAATCATGCATGCAAACTCAAATTCAATGAATTTATTAGCTCCATTAACTTCATTTAGCTCCCAACAACTTACATAACAACAATTATAACACTCTATAGTCTAATATCTTCTAAAAGAGTCTAGGGTTTATCAAAATCACAGAAATTCGAATTTAATGACCACATGACTGGCACCCATTGTTCTAGAAGTATAAACTAACTTTCAACAACTTCATTTAACTCCATTAATTCAGCCATAACAATAAAAAAAAAAACTTAGAAATTTTGCTAGGGACTGAAATCAAGAGAATGTTAGGAATCTTAACCTTAAAATGGAGCTAGAAGGGAAGAGGAAGGATGGAGAAACTTACGTCAAGTGATTCCTAGCTTAAAGACATCTACAATGGCCAAAAATGTCATGCCCTAGCAAAGCTTCTTCTTCTCCTTCTCTGACTTCTCTCTCTTTTCTCTTTGTTTTTGCATTTTTCAAACTCTTATAATGTAAAATTGATGTTTCAACTGCAAATAGTTGTGCATGTTATAATCATGAACATTTGTAGTTGAAGCTACCAATCTAGATTTGCCTCCTCAATCCACAACCGCATACAATTATGTCTAGTGAAAGAATCAACCGTGGAAAGTTGTGAATAAAGAGCACACTCCTCTTCCAGGGATGTTCATTTGTGATCAATAGTCACCTATTAGGTTACAACTAGGGACTATTGAATACAAATACCCAAATTCCTCCTCAAATTCACTCTTAAGCCCTCAAATCTTACTCTATTTTATTCCTAATCCATCCTTACTTGTTTCGTACCCTTAATTAACATTTGTTCATTAACTAAACTCAAAAATTAAAATTTAGGATGTTACATTGAAAAGTGTGTGAAAATTAAAGAGTTAGAGAAAGAAGAGAGAGAGAGAGAGAGATATGCGGCGTTAAAGCAAAGTGAAGATAAAAACATACCCAGATGAAGATGCATTTGGAGGTCTTCGGCAGATGAACATGGAGATAGATTTGAAGAGAGAGATATGCTGCCAATGAAGATGGATTTAAAGGTCTTTACCAGCATTGGTGCACGAGTTCACAATGGCAAGGTTGGAGAATCTCGATGACAGGTTAGGAGGAGGAGATGACGGTGGGAGAAATGTGGAGAGGTCTCAGACTGATCGCTTGTGGAAAAGAATGAGAAGTTGAATAGGTTTGAGCTGGGTTTGACATGTCATCCACCTAGGGGCCACCTCTTATTTTGCTTGGTCAAACAATCTTATTGAACGGTCAACATGAGCTTGATATAACTGTGGGGCAACATTGCATTATTTTGAAAAATTTTGATATGACATTATTTCAAAAAAAAATTAGGATATTAGGCACCTTAAAAAAAAAAGGTTTAGAACATTTTAGTCCTTCTGCTTTTTATTGAATGATAGATATATTGGGTTTTAAAAGTTGAACTTGGTACAATAGTGATAGGGTAAAATCATACAAAGTTAGTTTAGGAAAAATTTTTGCACAATCATTTTTTCATAGTGGGTACTAAAGTTCTTTTTTAGGCTCCGTTGGCATTAAAAGGAGGAAATTCTTACATTTTTGTAATTATTACTCAACATCTATTCCTTTTTATATTTTAAAAATATTTCATTCCATTTCTTTTATTTCATTTCAAAGCTTATTTACTGATCTTAAAGTCATAGGAAACAACTTTACTGATCTTGAAGTCATGGGAAACAACTTTTGTTTTCGGGCAAATAGACACTCTGGCTTAATAGGAGGAATTTTAATAGGGAAAAGGGAAGAGACCTTATTTGGTTCACGAGGGGAGAGAAAATAATTATGAGAATTATACTCTTATCTTATTAAAATTGTTTTTCTTATTTATTTAATAAATATACTGATTTTGTTAAAAAAAACAAGGATAAAAAATGTATTCATCTTTTAACTATATCATTTGAACAGTGTAGATTTAATATTAATGTTGTTTTAATATTATAAAAAAGATAATATTCTAATATGCACTTTCAAAAAATATTTTTTAAAAAATTACAATTTAAAAATTTTAAATTATCTATAGTCTATTTGAATAGTCAGTCAATCAATAAAAATTTTAAAATTTTTAATATTAAATTTAAACAATTATATTAAATCTAAACTGTCCGGCTGGATGATAATATTTTTTTTAAATTTTTTATTTTAATAACTACAAAACAAAAAAAAATTAAAACATTTAATTTGAACCCAGGCCTTCTTGAAGACGAGGGGAGGTGCAGAGGATCAGGAGAGAAGCTGTGTTCGTTTTATTTAGAGAGGGGCATTTTTGGATTATGAAAATATGGTATGAATAAATTAGTTACAAGAGAACAAAATTATACCCTTTCTTCAATAATCCCATATTTTGGGAGTTTGGCGGGGACGGGAGGAAAATTATTGAAAAAATATCCTCTCTCATCCCCTCCATTTTCAATACCAATCGAAGGGTAGGCTCTCAACTCATTAGCATTCCGGGATATTTAACTGCATTGAATTTTCTGTTGTTCCTACGGTCGGAAAATAACTTTGCCTATATTTGTAACTGGTCTCCGGGAGAGTTGCGTTAGATTTGACAGTCAATTTTAAAGTATCATGTATGTTTCGTCCCCAAAAACCCAGTACAGTCAACTTCTTTAGTATCACTAGCTGTTCAAACAAAATGAACATTGGCACAGCCACATGGAGCACCCACAGAAAAGAAAAGAAACATTAATTGTCATGTAAAAGGAGGCTAGAAACCAACTAATCCAGAAATTTTAGTGACATCTAAAGTCATCTCCTGTCACTATGATGTCTCCTATGTCGATCATCATTGAACTCAATGTCTCTTCTTCTATGCCCACGTTCTTCCCTTCGACGTCTGTAATCTTCATCATCATCATCATCTATACTTCTTTTTCTTTCTCTGGACTCATTCTTCGAGTCTTGCCTGATTTGGTCTTCCTTTTTGGTCCTATGATCCCTGTCATCCATTCTCCTCCTGTCTTCATGGCCTTCATGGCCATATTCAGCTGAACCTGAAGCATCCTTCTTCCTCTTCTCCCTATCTCTGCCGTACTCCTTCTCATCCCTTCTCTCCACATGGCTAGAATCCGCTCTTCTCCTATAATCTGCATCCAGCCGTCTCTCCGTACGGCTATCATCCTCGTATCTCTTCCTAGAATCTCGATCATCTTTCCGACCATAACCATCATCGTCTCTACGTCTTTCCACATGCTTATCTCTGTCTTTCCTCTCTGCACGGGAATCCACATCTCTTCCATCTCTTTCATATCTTCCTTTGCTTCTATCACCATTCCTATCTCCGTTGTCTGAGCCTATCTTCTCTTGATCCCTGCGACCCCTATGCATACTTTTCCTCTCAATTGGGTCATCCTTATCATGCCTTCTGTGTCCCTTTCCTTGCCTTGGACTCTCCGTGTCATCTCGATCGAACACCATTTCATAACTACAATATGAAGCAAGTGTCATACATTTGAACCGATAAACAGAGACAGATGCCTGCAATGTTGAGTGCAAACCTGGCATTATCCCCACCACGTTGGGCATTGTCATCCTTCAAGATGTACTTCGTCGTTTGGTTATTTTTGGCATCCTCAGTGCAATCCTTGGCAATGTGATCTGAATAACCACATTTGAAGCAGCCCTTACCTACAATCACGATTTTGTACCAACATTATGATAGCAATTGTTTACATCCAAATACTTGCATGCTGAAATACCAGAAAACAAAAAAAGAAAGGCATTCTGCGCAACTCCTTGAAAAAGGACCAGACTATATACAATAAACATCTCTACCCTTACCTTTACCAGTTTGATCTTTGCGCCTATACTGTGACCATAGTTTTGCCACACTCTGACTAAAATCTACGTGTATCCTTCGATCATCAATCAGGGCATTATCCATCTGCAGATTCAGGGGAAAATAAAACAAGGAAAGGGAAATAAGATTCTTTGTTTAGCAAAGGGAAAATCTTAGAAATATATCATCATTAGAGAAACATCTTAAACAGTTAAACTCAGGATGAGAATTTAAAAAAAAAAAAAGAAAAGAAAAACTGACAGTCCAGTAAAAAAAAAAAAAAATCTATAAGCCAAATTTAAATTCAAAGGGATGGAATATCACTGAAAGCTAAGACAAACGAGCAGGAAAATAGATTGATAAAACGATTTTTCTTAAAAACAGAATAAAATGCAAGACTCCGCAAGACTCCATACAAGAAGGAACCTTGAAATATCAACCAAGTATACAGACAAAGAGCCAATTTAACCAACTGAAATATCAAAATATCAAGTGTCATGGAGCAAAACAGAGGTTATTAATTAGCAAAAACATAGAAAGGCGTCTTAATACATACCTTAAAATATGCTTGTTCACACGCCTGCTTGTCCTCAAACTCTGCCAAAATAAAAGGTAAATAAGATTGTTGCTTGATTTATAACAACGGAGTAGTCACTAAAAGTCCATTTGTCTATGATCAGAGTAGATTTGTACAGTTTAAACTAAATAACAGAGCGCCCTAGCAATAAAGATTTTGTAGATGAATGTAAGCATATCTGAGGGGAAATAATTAGAACCCTTGACAGATAAAGAAGTACAATTATTTATTATACAAGTCAGGTTTTCATTTGTTTATTAGCAGTGACTATCAAATAACTCATGAAGTTCTTTCCTAGACCACCAAAGAGGAAACATGCACCAACCTATGAAAGCATAGCATAAGCTGTCACCAGTCTTTTGATCACGGATGATTTCAGCCCTATAATCAAACATTTCAAATTCAAATGAGAAATACACAATCCATTATTAAAGGGTTAAAAACATTTTTGCCCTCAACTATTCGTTCAAAAACACGATATCCTAAAATTTCATGTGCAATTTCCTCCTTCAACATTTGAAAATAGGTAGTGAACACCTTTCCATTAAAAAAATTAACTTGAAATCAGTTGACTTAAAAATTAAAAATTCAGAAAATAACCAAAAAAATTATAAGAAAATTAATATCAATTTAAGTTTTCGAAATTACATATAGATAATAGATACAAATGTTATTTCTTATCCATGAAAAAGCCAAAATACGATTTTGACCCACCATTATTTGAGACTTAGACAATATTAATTTTTTATGGTATTTATTTGTAATTTTATGGGTCCTTTTCTTCTATCCTTTTTTGTAATTTTTTCAGTTAACTAACGGTCAGTTTAATAGTAGGGAGCCTAGTGTGCTATTTTCAAATGTTGAAGGATAAAATTACACTACATGTAAGTTTAAGATACTAGATGGTCTGAGCAAATAGTTGAGAGGCAAAATTCTCTTTAACCCATTATTAAAAGCACCAAAGAAGTCCAGTATATAATAACACTCACGACACAACAGTCCCAAAGCGTGAAAATATAGTATGCAAGTCCTCATCCTGAGGATTCAAAATAAGTAGAATGTTAATAATCGAAAGACAGACAAAGCACTACCTCAGAGAAGAGGGGGACAATAGGAGTAGGATAGAAATCATTAACCCTTACAAGAAAGATCACTCACCTCAGTAACTGGGTTCAATTTACAAACAAATAACACGTGATCAGGAGGCTTGATCTCAGCATCAGGAATATCTCCAATCTAAAAGAAGGATAAAGAAATAGTTACACATGGGATCATCACAAAACATACAAAGATAATGTGTACCATATACTTACACTCTCCAGTACAACAGCCCTAGAATGAGCTTCCTTTGCCCTAATAACCTCCTCAAGCTCTGTTGGATCTAATTGTTCATCCATGGGCACCCAATCATCTTCAAGCCGCACTTCATCAACAATCTAGTAAATCACATTAATTTGTATTTAAACAGATATGCTTACCAAAGAGTCAAAGAACACAAAATTGAATCAATGACAATGAGGTTGAATCAACTGCAAATGCATATCACAGGAAGCTAAACCTAAAATAATTGCCCATTTATAACCTCGCTAAATAAAAGAGAAACATGATCACAAGATTTTAAATACAAAAGTCAAACCAATGCAACTGTCCAAACAAGCTCTACCATCACTCTGCATATGACAGGGAAGCTCCCTTCAAGAAACCATGCAAGAAACAAACCAAAGATAACTTTTCTTTTCCAATAAATTCCTTTTACCAATTTTTTTTTTAAAAGTCTTTCTCCCAGAAACAATCCTTGCTTTGCTAATAAGTAACAACCCCTATCGTTTGCTTAGTTTCAGTCCACACATCTAGTGCTGCAATCAATTATTACCTCATATTTTGGCTTTCCTTCTGGGGAAGCGTCAGGAATTAACTCAGCTAGCTGAGAAGGATCGTCAAAAGGATCATCTAAGATGTAAGTGTGCTTGATTCTGTTCAAGTAATTCAGGAAGATAATTATATTACATCTCAAAAAGAAAGTGAGGCAACTGTACGGGGCAGAATGCAAATCAAATTAATATATCATTAAGATGAAAATACAGAGCAGAGTGTGTATAAACCGGATATTTTTATAAGGTCTCCCATTCTCATCTGCATAAGCTTCATTTATTCTAGTCAAAGTGTCAAGTCCTTCAGCTACCTCACCAAAAACCTGCAATGATGGACACATCTCAGAAAAAGTAAACGTAACAAAATGAACACTTCCACAGAAAAGATTCTAAAGGGATAACAGTTCTGAATTAATGCACAAGTAAAAGAAAACTATTCATAAGGGGCATCCCCTTGCGCCCTAATCTTCCCCTATCTGTACTAATAACAAAGTAACTAGTCTTCTTACCCCCTTAACAACTATTAACCCATGCAACACTTCACTTTTGATGTTTCATGCTTGATGACCTCCTTAGAACCTAAATAATACTTTATTTAATTCCTCACCCTGGTACTTGTGACAAAGTTGTTCACTAACCAAAGTCTTTTATGAAGATATTAGGTTTTCTTAAAACTCCTTGAACAAAGGAGATCGGAAGGCCATTATTAATAAGACATTATTAAGTAATTAATGTCATAGAGCTCAAGAGAAAGAACAGCAAAAGCACATTTTTTTTTTTCTGAGAAATAACAACTAGCTTAACACCATATACAAATACAACACAGCTTGCATGATCAAGTACTGGAATCAGCAGGCACTGACATTATTTTTTTTTTTTTCCTGATCATCTTCTAAAAACTTTTGTAACATATTATCATCATGCCGTCACCCATAAGGAAACATAAAAAGGAATCAGTGTAACCCAAAAAAAAAAAAAAAAACCCATCATCTCTCCACTACAAAAACAAGTAACACCCGGATGTTCCATCTTCCTAAAATTACCACTTTATATCTAAAGTCTTGACTTGGTAAAATTAATGAGTAATACAAAATATTGCAGCAATAATATGATGTCAGAATAACTATGTAATGATAGAGAATGGGGTAATAATTAATTGCCAACCTTAGAGAGTATGCATTCCTAAATACATAGGCCTCCAGAGATGCCCCGTTTTGTGCAAAAAGAAGAATGACACACACTCATTACAAAGACAAGATTAATTATTTGTCTAAAAGGCAATATGTATGATGAAAGGGATGCTTCCTGAGTTAATTTACTATCTTGTTTTTTTTATTTCCATCCACATTTTCTTTCATATTCTTTCACTAGGACTTCTAGACCTCATTTGCTTTCAATCCCCCACTCTCTCTCACTCATTCCTTTTCAGTACCTAATAATAACCATCTTTACTTTCTGAAAACAAAATTGCCGAAAATGAACTATCAGTGACTATTGCTATTATGAAAGGTAATACTGAAATGGGGGTTCTCTAATCCTGTCTTGTATGTTATCATGAAAACATCATTTGGGGGCCCAGCAAGGAGGGGGAAGCCGTTAAATTACAAAAAAGTAACCATTATATCTAAAATATGAAAAACTAAAATTTTTCAATAAAATTCATCACAAGGATGTAATTGTACTTAGCGATGCAAGTAAAGCAAGAGAGCAGAAAACACTTACAGTGTGCTTTCCATCAAGGTAATCAAGATTATCACGCAGAGTGATGTAGAACTGAAAAAATTCAATTGAATAAATAATTATTCAAAAACAACTTTCTACAATGAGTTAAAGATAAGAGCAAATACTAATTCAAGATTTTTCCTTTCTCTTACAGAATTCATAGGAGAACATTTGAAGAAAATAATCTTGTACCTGGGAAGCATTCAGGTTCTCTCCAGCACTAGCCATGGCAACTGTACCAGTCTTAGAATGTTTTAAATCAATATGAATCTCATCACTAAAAAAGCGAGCTTGATCACCATAGAGAAATCTAATAAGAAGAGTAATATTAGATATATTAGATCAAATTTCAACGTGCAATAATTATAAATAAAACCTATGAAGTTATAAGTTCCGATTTCATACTTGTAAACAGAATCACCACCGCTCCCAATTCCAGTTGGATCACCAGTCTGAGCAGTGAAATCTTTCTGAACAGTGTGAAATAGACACCCATTATAGTACTTAATCCTAGGCCAACAAGTCCAAAGTAACAAATAATCAGTATGATGCTAGACAAATATGAACATCCATAGGAAACCAGCTTAACAAAGTATAATAAATAGACACCCATTATTCTATTTTATTCTTTGTAACTTCTCAAATTAAGGAAGAGGTTAAGTGGTTAGCATTTACCCATCTAAATAGGTAAAATGGTTAGTGTTTTGTAAGGGTGGATTTTTTCTTTTTTTGGGCCAGCGTAAGAGTGGAGTTGGGAAGTGCAGAGCTGTAAATTTATGATATAACATGTGTTCAATTTTTCTAAGTCATGTTAGACTTATTGTCTCATTGACATCTTCAACCGCCATATTAAATTTCTATCCCCAACAGTAGAAAAGTTGATTGAAACAATATTTAAAGGCCCAGCGAGAAATGTGAAGGAAACACTTCATGTAATTTGAGTTATCGGACAACATTCATACGTCGAATTTAAACAATCTATAGGAATTAAAGGGCAATAGTCATACGGTTCATAGCCAGCCATCACTGAATTTTTATGTGTGAATTTAAACAATCTATAGGAATTAAAGGGCAAAGTCATACGGCTCATAGCCAGCCATCACTGAACTAGACGTAACCAGATCACATGTTCATAATACACCAATAGCCGGCTACATAGGAGAATAAAGAGACCGTAATTTGATCTTTTATGTGCTATATTTAACGCTCTAAAGACAAAAAGTAAGATTTGAGCTTGGAAAAAATATATCAAATGTAGAATTTGTCATAGTGAAATACAAGTTATGAGCAGCATTTGGGTAACGAAAGTTATAGGCGTCATAGGCTCGCGTAAATCTTTGCGCAGAAGTGGGAAAACAAACACCAGAAAACAGTTGGAGTACATTGGGTGAGGGGCAATAATACTAAAATTCCTCAAACTAGCGATATACCTAAGATCTAAGCAAGCTAGTATATTGGAATGTCTTCGTTATTTAAATTCAAAATGTGGCAAATGGTTAACAAAGAAGTGGTTCTGGGTTTTGAACCAAACATTGGTGTCATGAAATCAGTGGGAAATGAGTTGAATTGCCAAACCCAGAAATAGATTTTATTTTATAACAGAAAAATTTATTTAAAAAAAAAAACGAAGAAAGAATGTGTAATGATGGAATGATTAGACTCACTTGCAAAGCTTCAAGAAATTTTTACTCGTCAACGGGCATTTATCGGTGTACAAATCTACCACTATGTCTCCTAAGCTCGTGACGATTAGAACCGACATCTTCCTGTACTGCTACGAAAATGGAGAACCGTCCCGAGTTCAGCTCGGAAGTCTGGTTGCACAAAGGGAGAGAACAGTGCAGCGACTAGGAAATTCTTCCACGTCAACACTCAGTGTCTGGCCACACCGGCAGCACCCAAAACCACCGCCCCCACCAAGCCCTCGTTCATTCAATCCAACCTAGTTTTTTGGTTTCAACTTTCAATTTTTCCCAAAACCAAGTTTCAATCTCAACTCACGTCAGAAAAAAAATGGAGCAACGAAACAAACTTGAGTTCAGCTAAACTCCGTTTGCCCTAAAAACCACGTTAGAAGCGAAGCAGCTCTATCCCTGCTTTCGAGTTTCAAAATCACCACCAAGCCTTATTCATTACTGTATGAATATGTCTCTACCCCTAGAACCCATGCTCCCTGCGAAACACAACCATTCCAGAATTTATATTCACACCGAGAGAAAGAAACCATCAATTCTAGTTCAAAAAATGTAATTCGGAGAAACAAACAATTCCAGTTCCAAAAATCACTACATCCAGAATTTACATTCAGAAACAGCAACCAACAGCCACGATGCAGAAAGAGAAGAACAATAAGAATGATACTGACCAGCGACAAGCCACAGACCACGGAGGAGTAGAAATCGTTCGGTCAAGGGAGAGACTGAAAGAAGAACGACGAAGGCACGTTGTGAGGAGAACGTGACACAGAGGAATGAATGGATCTGTATGACAGGAAAGGGAAGGGACGAGAGGCAGAGCACCGAGAGGCGAGAAGACACAATTTTCACTCCATTTCTAACGTGAGTCGCATTGAATTTATATATAATGGGAATCTATTTCCCTGAGCCTTCCCCCCCCCCCCGGTGCCCAAAAAAAAAAAAAGCTTAGCTACAGTAACTTATTTGTCATACTCCCTTATCTACAGTAAATCTTTTGTCCTATTATCTTGGCTACATTATACTGTTCAGTTGATCACAAAAGCCTGATCCGACTAACGCATGTGTTGGGCGCCATGCAGCAATTTACTTATTCATTATATTTTTTGGGTATCGTGCGCCGTGGATCACATTTTCTGCTTAAATTGTCATGCAAAGATGCTCTCATTACTCTACGCCTTCATTGCTTGCAAGAACTTCTAACCTACTCATCAATTTCTGCTCATGAAATTCTTGCATTCTCAAAGCACAATATGTTTGAGGATTTCAATCCTTCAAAATCAATTTCGTCCACAATTGTTGTGAAGGTCGATAGGATTTACCTTTAAGTTTGATAGAAACTTATTTAATAGGATTTGTGGATGGTTCAAGAAAGTTGCCTTTTTGGACTTCATTGTTTTTGATAGTATGGTCAGTTTTTATGTTATAAATATTTTTTATTTTATATATAAGTTCATTCAATATACAAATTAAGCGTTCTGCTTTACTTTATAGCTTTTCAGAATAACAATATCTCTCATTGGTGATGATATAATTGACCGCTTCTCGTTTAGAAGAAAAGAATAGTTATTTTATACAGCATTTTAACGTTGTTGTGGGCGGTTTTGATATTCACTCAAGGTTTCATATGAGTTCTTTCTAGATACGTGCATTCATGAATTTCCTTATCCCATTGTCGACTATGTTTTCAAGATAAGACCGGTGGAAGAAATAAGACGTGAATGGTGGCCAGTAAATCGTGTTCGCGATTAGTGGAGTACCACCTGATAAAGTTTGAGGTGCATGTATCTAATGTAATGATGTATCTTAGTTATTAATTTTAATATTTGATGATGTTCCAGACGTGTGTGGCTTCCTCTGAGCTGCGGGTGGGCTTCTATGGGATAGATATCATGATCTTCTAACATGGAAGATTTCATTTATTGTAGAAGTTTTTAGGAACTTAATTTGTTGATTGTGCATCAATGTAATTTTCCTTTCTCGCATGTATCATATATTAGTTTCTCTAACGAATCTTAATTCTTCATCATGTAGTTTATTTGACATGAAATTTCTTATACACAATTCCCCCCTACAACGCACAAGGCAGTAAATGTCAGTGATATGTAGAATATTGAAACCAAGAATCTTATTGTTTTTTTTTTTCAGGAAAGTTAGTTAGAAATCCCACACAATGATTTCACTTATTTTAAAATCCTATAAAATATATAAATTGTTGTGAAGCTTCAAATTGGATGCAATTACAATTTGATAAAGACAAATGATAATTTGACAAAGAAAAATAATAATTTAATATTAAACTTATACCTAAGTTATCGTTTTCTTTTTGGAGCTCTTTTCATCATGATATTGTTTCTTTGTTTTTTTTTTTTGTTGAACTTGTTAGTTGTGAAACATTCTGGTTTTTATAAGATTGTCCAACCTTAGTGAATTTTATTTTAAATTTTGGTAAGCATGTGTTGCTTTCCATGAATCCCAAGATATCTTTGGCAGGCAACAATTTAGATTACTCAAGTTGTGGGTCAAGGGATGTGCTCTTTGGACTAGGCCGTGAAACCTCCATCTCCAATGGTTTTCCCCTTAATTAAGGTCCTTGTTTTTATTTAGGATTTGACATTAGGAATTTCCTTGTTTGTAACTTGCTTTTTTTTTTGGTCATCTTTTTTATTGTTCCTTTTCTCTTGTTTCTTTTTTTTTTCTTCGTGTCACCATACCTGATTGGCTATTCATTTATTGGTTAATGGTTATTTTTTCATTCTTTGAAAAAAAAAAAACTCAAACTCTATCTATCTAAACTTGAATTTGAGCTTTTATCATAATATTCTTACCAAACTCAAAAAATAAAAAACATGATCACCTAAAAATCACTCATCAATAAATTTAAGTATCAACAGCCATGATATTATCTTTATCATGGGAGAGGGGAGTCTCCTTTTCTCTTACTACAATTTCCCTCATCGTTTTTCACTATTGTTAGATCAAAACTTTTCAATAATTTAGATTTAATACTTGGTAAGATTATTATTTTAATTCTACATATAACATATAAATAGTATATTATAATTTTAAATTATTTAGATCAAATTCTAATAGTTCAAAGGGAAAATTAGTAAGAAATCTTACACCTTATACCCCAAGCTAGAAGATTTATACCTAAGCCAGAAGCCTTACACTCCAATTGTAACATCTCGATTTTTAATTCTCTGATTTACTAAGCTTAATTAGGATAACTAAGTAAGTTGAGGTGTTATATGGCCAAGGAGGTCTAATAATCATATTCAATTGTGTTTTAGCCTTAATTGTGGGTTTGATATCAAGTTGGACCACTCGAGCATCAAAAAGAGAAGAAAATAAAGATTTAGTGTTATTGTGCCACATGCCACGGTGTGGAGTGCATCTGCCGCGACACATAGACACAACTAATGTGAGAAGATGACCTCTTTATGCCATGCGTAACAGCACATTTAGCATTTGCCATAGCATATGGTCATTTTCTGTAGTTTATCAGTTGTGAGATAGAAAATAAAGAGAAAAGAGGAGAGAACGAGAACCAATGACCAAGCTTTGTTGGGGTTCATTCTTGAATGACATTGAGAGTATTTTAAAAACTACAAACATCCAAGGTAAGTATCACACTCATTAATTTCCCTCTTTATAAGTTTATGGTTAGGGTTTGATGATGGAAGATGATTTTCAATCCATATAAATTATAGGTCTAAATCTATTAACTCATATGGAGTTAACAGGAGTAGATTACAGTATCTAAACATAGGTATAATAAATTTTGGTGTTTTGGCTTGTTGGGCTTTATAAATATCTGAAAATTGCATTAATGTGGGTTGTTAGAAGAATGTGATGCCATTAATGGGAATTTAATGGCTCATTAATGTTAATGAAAACTAATGATAGTTAATAAACCCAATGAATAGGCCCAAATGTAAGCAATGTGGGCATTGGGTGAGTTAAAAATGGAAAGTGAGTTAAGAGTTGTGTGTAATTGACATCATTGATGAAATTCAACTTCGTTAATTGTAGATTAAGCTCTTGAAAATCAATTTGGCTTGAGAATTCAAGCTTGGAAGCTATAATATTGAAAGGTAAATCTTTCACCTCTCAAAGGTTTAAGGTAACCGAGGGAACCCTACTTTGGATATTTATATATTAACTATAGTATGATATGAATCTTGTGTTTAATATGCAAATTATGACTTGTGAACGAGTATATCATGCAATAAAACATTGTGCTTATATAATCACTTTGATGTGCATTAAACATACTAAAGTGATTGCAAAATGAGTTTTAAGTTGCAAAAGTGATGTTCGAGATGAATCGCATGTTTATAATGTGTTTTGAATGAATTATTGATGATAGACTTGATAAAGATGGGTAATTGAGATTGAAAATGATGTGTTCATGTGATATAAGGGGAAATGAAACTTGAATCTCACTTGGATATCGCACAATTGTAAGCCTAACGTGATTATTGTGATAATGAATAAATAAGAATGTAAATAAAAAGGTAAGCATCATACATGGTATGATTAGTGGGCAGGAGTTTGCCTAGGGATTAGGAGTAAAGAAAATTTATGTGGTATTTAGGTTGCCCTCCAGTGAATGGAGGCATAGTCTTGTCCCACAATTTGTCGAGAGACTGTTCCATAGTTTGTTAAGGGACTAGAACTTAGCTTTCTCCACCAATTTATTGAGGAGAATAGCTTAGGGTATGTGACACTCTAGAAATTTGAGAGTGGGGGAAGCCATGGTTCGAGAGTAAGTCATGTGATCTTTGGCTGAGTCACACCTTATGATTAGTAAGCTTAGGTAGTCTAGTCACACAAACGAAGCCCTATTCAATGTTATAGACCACGGTTTCAGTTAAAGAAAATAAAGAGGGTATAAGGTTGGTTGATCATTGCTTATGTAAACTTATGACATGTCACATGATTATGATGTGGCAAGTTGCATGGATAATGGGTTATGGTCATGTGCCTAAATTGTGATAATGCACCTAGTGTATATGAGATGGAAATGAGTTAAAGACATAATGATAAGTTTTGTTATGTGGTTAAATATGGTTTAAGAACTTATTTTCATATGCATGTGTAGGTTGTATCTTAGTTATTGAGTGGCTAGACTTACCCCTTTCATTTAACACTTTACTGACTCTAGCTCTGAAGCAAAGAGGGAGAAGGCTCAAGAGGTTAGGAATTAGTTCATTCCTACTATATGCCTCTAGTTTATATTATTTTATGTAATAGAATATTTTGCTAATTCTATATTGCATATTATTACGCTTGCACCTTTTTATTGTTGCAAATGTCTAAAATATATTTTGAGCTCTGAGTAATTGTTTATGATGAGATAGATTTTGTTGATAAGCTAAAATACTAGTGTAAATGTAGAAATAATGTTTTGAATATATTTTGATTGGTTTTAATGCAATGCAAAGCAAATTACCTCCCCGCTTTTATTTTTAGTGAAAAGGGGTTGAGGAGTAATTTTATGTTGTACTAATATTTAAATGTATGTGACGTGTTGTATTGATAGTTTAAATCCAATGAATATGATTTAGGTGATAGGAATAGCTTTTAGCACTTGGTATGGGTTTTGGATACCCTTTTTGTTTAGAAGTTGTAAAAAGTGGTAAAAATATATTTTGGTGTCCAACTTCTTGGTGTGACTATTTTTAAAAGTAAAACATATGCCATTATCTAATTTATGGAAAGAGCTTTCCATAAACACTTAGATCATGTCATCCAAATGTCGAATGAAGAATCAGGATGCATTGAAAGTTTCTCAATTCTACTGTCAAATTCGCTGTCATTTATG